TTTCAAGAATTTGGACTAAGACCTGTTAAAAATATTAAAGATGGCCCAAATGAGGTCGTGCTTAGGGAATCGGCACAATGTGCAGATCAACTCAGAGGGTCAGATTGTTCCCAGGTTTCTCATTGACTGCTCTTGGAAAGAAACATATAACTTTTCGGCTTTGGATGGATTTATTATCAAGATTCTACAAAAGAAGGTGTTGTTCTGAGAGTCTGAACGGCAAGACGAAGTCTATCCCCTCTCCACTCAGAGTTAGAATCACTCATCTTTGTCATGCAATGCTTCATTAGCCAGCCGAAAACGAAGGTGGCTGTCATGATAGATTGCACTTATGCGGTGCAAATGGTTTATGAGCCTATGTAGTGACTAGCATTTTTCGTACACATGGGCGATTTCGCGTAGTGTAAAGCAATTTTCTTGGAGTTTTTCTTAACTCATGTTTCACGTTTCAAGAATATAAAAACAGATTTACTTGTACGGAGTGTCATGATATATATGCACGATGTATCGTTTGTAAACATTGTAACACCTGATTGGTCTATCGAATAGTTTAATTAGTTATTATTCTGTTAATAAAAAAAATATAATAAATCGGAGATCTTGAAACTATTTCTTACATATATTATTTTTTTTTGGAAATATCTGATATAAAAAGAAATATATATATGCTATATATCGCCATTTACAAATATTACTAATAAATTATGTTTCAATTGCAGTAAATTAATATAATTTTCTTGTCGACGTTTTTAAAACTAGTGAATGTTCAAAATCTTTTAAAGACAAAAATGGTATTTTAAGGTATTTACAAATTGATGCGATTAATTATAAAAAAAAATACCAGGCAAACAAAATTACAGGTGGATAAATCTATATGGATAATATGAAATATAGGAATATGTCTTTAAATTCAATAATTATCAACTAAACCTGTAAGAATTTGGAAATAATTGTTTACAAATTATTATGATTAAGAAAATAAATCAAATAAAATAATTTGTGTCGGTTCAAGTTGCATATACAGTAGCAACATGACAAATTCTTTGTCAAAATTAATTCATGTTTTATTTATTAAATGATGTTAACAATTTTTGTTTTCTCAACCAACCATTCCATCTGCTAATTATTTTTAATCTTATCTAACATAAACAAATTAGTCGCTGCAACACTAATAAATCGAAAGCATAAGACCAATTTAACTGGCCAAACGAAATTGAGTAATC